GGAGAGAGAGAGAGAGAGAGAGGGATGGTCGTTCAATTCTAATCAAGTGGCTCAGGTAAACATGGCGCGTTCCCTTGCGTTACACGGATTTTCCTTGTAACTGTGTTCAACACGTGCGCGCGGCCACATCAACAGTTTCAACTGTTGATCTCGTCAACGGGAAGGAGGAAACCCTTTTCGATCGACTTCGAATTTTCGATGGAACGCTCGTTAAAATATTAAACAATTATATTTCTACCTCGTCTACTTTTTTTCTTCCTTTCTTTCTTTATTTATTACGGAAGAGGAAGTTCTTCCGAGAGGAAGAGCCTATATACAGTTAAGTTTGCCAGAAAGTTTCCCAACCCTTTAATAAGGTGCTTGGAATCTAATGAAAGATTCACAGTTTCTGAGAGGGGAATACTCTCCCCTCCACTGCTCCTCTTTATATACAAATTGTAGCACGTCAAAATATCTCGCGCGTTTTACTTGCATCACGTTAATTATTCGTTCCATAAATTAACTAAATCGACATTCCTCAACGTTATGTAATCTTCACGTAACAATAAATCGAATCGAAAAATTTGAAATTTGAAAATTAATCGAATCGATCAAGCGTACATTTTCCAAACATTTTTGGTGCAATTTATATGAAAAATAAAGAAACGTCTCCTACATATTTCATTTGTACACAGGCAAATTTAAGGGAAAATTCCTTTTTATCCTCCTAGATTCCAAAGATTAAAGAAAAAAGAACAAATAACACCGAAGACGAAATCAGAATAATATCCAATCTCGATGTTCGAACACCGAGTTTACCATATCTTCCAGGAACACGGTATATATATATATTTGAACAAACGGTTGAACAACATCCGCCAACTTTCCAAACATTATTCCACGAGAATAGGAAAAGCGTGTGATTGCGAGAGAGAGATGAACGATAAAAGGAGAAAGAGAGAGAGAGAGAGGAGGCACCGGTGCGTCCCACGTGGCGCGGGTAAACCTGTTAATAATTCTCGACGCGGATTCGTCGTGACATTACATTCCAGCTTCGTTTCACCAGGCGTCTTAATTAAATCGGCTTGCCGATTTTTCATAAACTATGGGAAACACGTGGCGACACGTTTCCTCCCGTTACAAATCCAGACAAATCTGCAATTTCGTCGCGTTTAATCGAGAAACTGGTCGCTTAGAAATCGTCTTTATCTCTCTTTTCTTCAATATTCCTCGATATTCGTTTCGATCCCTGACCTCGATTCATTTCTCTTGGTGTAACGTGATTCTAAGATACGCACGATGATACAAGATTCACAAGTAAACGCTTCGATCGACAATTTAGTTTTCGAATTCGTTCACTTTTAAAATTTACATTTATGATGGATGAAACAGACCCTGAATCGTTCGACGACGAGACAACAACGAATCGTACGATCGTAAAAAAAAAAAAAACTTGTTCAAACAATAAAAAAGAAGTGTTATCGCGTTCCATTCTATTTCGAAATAGAATCGATCGTCGAAATAATCTTTGGACCACCCGGATGGATCCACCCCTATCCATTTAAACTCCATTAAATCAAAGGCTGAACGAGCCAAGGAATTGGAGAAGGGCGTCGGTGTTTATGAAGTCGAGCGTCTGCTGGTTTCCACGACCGACGACCCATCCAGACGATGTACAGTTTTGGAATGGAATAATTGGAATTTAGAAACGTTTCTCACACAGATTGTGTGCGATTGGTCGAAAGGTAAGAGAGGAGAGGCGATTGTTTTCTATCTCGTGTCGTATTCGATTCGGTTAACCGAAGATTAATTCAGATTGCAGGCGAATTTTGCGAGATGAATTGTTTAGGCGGCTACGACGTAATTCTGGTTAAACAGGTATGACGCTCTCCCGGTTCCCGCGCGTGCAATTTGCCTGGAAAATGGAAATTCCTGTGCGCGATTCATTTTCACACCGTTTGGAGATTAACCGCGCGAAAACGGTTTTATTAATTTCGAGCGCCGAGTATTCCTCGAATTATTGTTTCAAAGAATCGATATCGATATCCCAATATCTGGAAACCCGTTGTGCAAAATAAAATTTGTCCTAACTTATTTACCATACTTATTTTATGATTTTACGAAACGTCGTGAAACGTACGGAAACCGTCCAGAACGGAACCCTCCCCGAAGAATCTCAAAAAAAAAAGAGCCCACGTTCCCTTGTCGGTTATTATCCAGCGTGTCGAGAGGCAAAGCGTGCAGCAACTTGAATAGAGGATCATCCCTCGTGGATGCTGCTGGCCGGCGGAACGCTGTCACGGTGCCCGAATTTCGAAGCGATTTCCACCTCCGCAGGCCTTCTAAGGCCGACAATGATCCAGATGCATGATTCGTGCAACTGACGTTCCTTCCTTCACGCTACCGGGTGGATAAGAGGGTGGTGGTTCGTGGAAGCGTAGGCCTCCGGTATCCGGTTGAATTGGTCACGGAGCGGAACACGTGTTCCCTTCGATCCCTGACGAATCGTTCCACGTTTTTCCCACAGGGTGACTGGCCGCGTTCGCCAAAGATTTTTGAAAAAAACTTTTGAAAATTTCGAGAAGAAATGGGACGGAGGCTGAAGAGAATTCGATAAATTAAGGAGAAACGCGGAGAACGTTGTTGAGAAAAGATATGATTTCTAATTTTTCGTTCGTTCGATCAAAAACTCTCTTGCTCTCCCCTTCCGAATCAAAAAGAAAACGGATATCTCGATTCTTCCATTCCCTCTTCGCTCTTGTTCCAACTCACCCTTTCCATTTCCTCGAAATCCATCACAAATATATCACGAGCTTCCCGAAAAATGCGCTTCGCAACAAGCCTCGTTTCGACAGGGATTCCGCGTTTCATCGCGTCACGTCGCAAGGGTTTTAATTATTCCACGGGAGGGGAAGGAGGAGGAGGAGGAGGAAGGGAGAGAGCGCAACCGCTAACGAGACGGGCCTGATAACGCAAATTAGATGGCACGCCGGATCGCTTATTAAAGGACAGTCTTATTAGAAAGACCTCCTCTCGTCGCCTTTCTCCCCCTCCTTCTCTCTCTCTCAGTTCGAAAATTCTCTAGGATAGAAAACGTGCCGGGGAATACATTTTTGCGGAGGACGCGCGGCCTTTCGAGGACAAAAACCTCGTTTAGTCGACTGGTATTCTCCCGAATACGCGCGGCTCCGTAATGAAATCGAGGGACTCGATTAAACATGGCCGACAACCTCTCTAAGCTTGTTCCCGCGCGAGGCGGAAATTTTTTTTTTACGAGGAAATTCGCGGGGAACGCGGAAGAGAAGGCGACGCGCCTGCCTCGTTTTCTGATAACCGGGAGGAATTTATAATCGTGGTATAAGGTTTGACAGTGTCACGGCTGTGAATATAGCCGAGGGGAAGCGTGTTTTGGCTTGGTCGAGGCGAGTCGCGTATTTCGATCGAAGAGTAAGACAGGGATACAACAGTTTCTTGGAGGAAAGTTCTCGCGTAATATTTACTCGCGACGATAACTAAAAAAACAATTCTCCTCGAGAGTGTGATTTTTATGAAACGAATTATTCGTGGGAGTTACGTTTGATCGTAGATTCAACTTTCATTCGAATCGAAATAACGGTATTAACGTTATGGACAGGAATGCGATACAAAGATACAAACCGCTTAAAAATTCAATTTTACAACAATCCCATTATCGGCTACTTCGAGAAACGAAGAATTTATTATGAATAATTGCAATTCTGTCCCCGTTATCGCTCTTTTCCCTTCGAGAAATATTTACACGAATCGAAAAAATAGGCTTGAAAAGTAGGAAAAGTAAGTGGACAAGGGGTTGTTGAACGAGCAGCTGTTCGATCGGGAACAGTTTCGATCCTGGAAACTGACTGCTCCAGTCGATCTGCCGGTGACTCGAATCTCTTCTTGTCTGTTCTTGCTTCGAACGGGCAAAAGGACGAACTCCATGGGAGACGGGCCGTGAGCGGGCGAGACGAACTCGGATTAGACACGGGGTTGTAGGGGTTTGCGCCGCCACCCGGCTTTTCGCCTTCCATTCACTTCACGAGGATCCTCGAGAGCGAGCGATCTCTGCGCGACCGGCCGCTTTTTTCTCCCCGCTTTTACACGCGCTTCCTTGTCCCCGAATGCACGAACCGAATCTCGCTTCATTTCGTTGCGGAGCAAAGCCATCGTTTCTCGATTCAGATTTACTCGAAACGTTTTGTTTTCGAAGGTTAGAACGCCTCTTTCTTCCCTCCAATCCTCGTCTTCTTACTCCGCCAAGATCGATGCATCCTTTTTAAATTCGACCACGAGATTTACAAGGATCCTTGATTGAATTTATCTTGATGAAGCGGTTCGACAAGATTAACGATGATCAATGAATGGAGTTACGCGCGATATATTTTAACGGTGTTATTCGAAAAACGAAGATAGGAAAAAAAAGAAGAGAGAGAGAGAGAGAAAAGATGCATAATAACAAAGATCGGAGATTTCGAATATTTCTCGAATCGAGAAGGCGTAAGATGACCGTACATACATAGAATTTTCCCGTGCCCCGGGGCTGACTTTATTCCTTCCTCCCCCTCCCTTCCGTTTTATTATCCATATTCGATAATTTCCAAGGAAATTTAATTATCGACGGGATATTACATGTCCAGCGGCACGGTCAAATGAAAAACGATCGGCGAACGTTCGCGATATTGAAAACGATACGTGTTCTTACGACGGCACGTTAAGAATTTCCATCCCTCCCCTCCCCCTTTCATCCATCGTTGCAAGGATGCGCCGCCCTCGCCAAATTCCACCAAATTGCACGATAATTTCACGGAATTTTCGTTTATACGAAATAACGTCATACCTCACCCCCTCGAAATTTCGTATTTACAAGGTTTCCCCCTCCTCTTCCATTACGCAATTCGCCGATAAGATAAGATTTCCATCCCCTCTCTTCCTTTCTCAACCCCCCACAAGAAGAATGTACACGGGATGATATTTTCTCTCGCGAGGGGTGCGAAAGGGGGCGAAACCTCTCGAAGTTAGTTTCCATTCTGCGTTTGACAATTACAAGTATGTACAATTTGAGGGTAGAGAAAATTTCGAAAGGGTTCGTTCTCGAAGAGGAGTGGTGAGATCTCCTGCGCGCGAGATTTGAAACAATTGAATCTTCTAGGAAAACTTAATTTTTAAAAATAAAACTCGTTTTATTTCCCCCGCTCGAAATCGAGATCGGCGACGAATTTTATTATTAACGCGTATTTCCCACGTATGTCACTCTTATGCACGAGCCTGTCGTTACCCTGTATGCATCCGACCTCCTCCCCCAGGGGTGCTCTTGCATATTTATCCCCTTCGCCCTCCTCTCACCCTTGCCAAATGGTCCGTTTCATTGCATCGAGCGGGCGCCCTTTACCTCCATCCTCACCCACCCCTCCACCGCCCCTCCTTTGTCTTCGACAATTGGAACGATAGTCGCGACATTCACGAGTGCACTCCGGGATGGAAGGCGTCTACGGGCTAATAAGTGGCCTTCCTGCGAATTAAGCGTCGTCACCGTTTTTCCTTCCCCACTCGACCCTCCTCCATCTTCCCTCTCCTTTCGCCCCATTGTATCACTCATATTCCTTCTCTCTCTCTCGGTCACCGTTCTTCTTTTCTTCTTCTTTCTTTCTTCTTCGTTTAATCGTTCATCGAGTGCAACTTTTAAACGGTTGAAACGAACTTTCAAATGGGAATTTCTTTGCCAGCCTGGTTCTTTTGTCGAGTTTTTTTTTTTTTTCTTTGCCAATTCTGAGAATTTTTCGCTTGTGAAATAAGCTCAAAGTTTCGAAGAGGCTTCGCTCGCGAGGAATTTTGGGATCCACCGGGTTGATCAAAATCTACGAGATCTTTTTATTTGTAAATTTTGTAAAATCTATAAAATCTGCTACGTTCCCCTATTCGAAATTCGTCTCGTGATATTCGACGCTCTCGATTAACGCGTGTCGAGCAGTGCTGGTCTTCCTGACTAATACCAATTAAACGTCGTCACTCATCTTTATTAACGCTCCCTCTATCTCGCGATCCCTTCTAACGAAACGTGTGTATGGATACTCGCGTGGAGTGCACAGGTGTACAGGGTGTTCCATTATTCATGACACGTGCTGAATAAGGCATGATTTTTCATAAAGAAGCGGATCGAAAAGAAAGAATATTTATTTACTCGAGGTTTCGTGTTATTTTCCAGGTACAAAGTTTTTCGCCTTTCCCCCCCCCCCTCCCCCAAACGCTATTTCTCGTTCCGATACAAAACGATGAGATCGAATCAATCGAATTAAGGAATTTCCAAACGCGAAAAAATTCTATTCCTCTTCGGTTCGATTTACTTTTTCAAGAGAAATTATTCGCGAATAACGAAACACATCCTATATATATATATATATATATAACGTAAATCCAAGAAAAGCATCATCATCTTCTGAGAATTTTTCGCTTGTGAAATAAGCTCAAAGTTTCGAAGAGGCTTCGCTCGCGAGGAATTTTGGGATCCACCGGGTTGATCAAAATCTACGAGATCTTTTTATTTGTAAATTTTGTAAAATCTATAAAATCTGCTACGTTCCCCTATTCGAAATTCGTCTCGTGATATTCGACGCTCTCGATTAACGCGTGTCGAGCAGTGCTGGTCTTCCTGACTAATACCAATTAAACGTCGTCACTCATCTTTATTAACGCTCCCTCTATCTCGCGATCCCTTCTAACGAAACGTGTGTATGGATACTCGCGTGGAGTGCACAGGTGTACAGGGTGTTCCATTATTCATGACACGTGCTGAATAAGGCATGATTTTTCATAAAGAAGCGGATCGAAAAGAAAGAATATTTATTTACTCGAGGTTTCGTGTTATTTTCCAGGTACAAAGTTTTTCGCCTTTCCCCCCCCCCTCCCCCCAAACGCTATTTCTCGTTCCGATACAAAACGATGAGATCGAATCAATCGAATTAAAGGAATTTCCAAACGCGAAAAAATTCTATTCCTCTTCGGTTCGATTTACTTTTTCAAGAGAAATTATTCGCGAATAACGAAACAACATCTACTATATATATATATATATATACGTAAAATCCAGAAAAGCATCATCATCATTTAACAAAGAAAAGTTATTAACAAATCGAGGGAAATGCGAAACGAGCATCTCTCTCGCGAAATATTTTTAATACGAAAAGGATACGAAATAAATTGCGATTGCTTTATGAAAAGTACACTTATGAAAAGAAAATATTATAGCGAAATATCGTTCGTTTGTTTAAAAAAGAACCTATGGATCTCTTTTGATTCGTGATTGAATGTTTAAAACCGATCATTACGTGTATTAAAGTAAAATCGAATCATGGCCCTCGTTTTTTGAATATTAACGATATTATTTCCGCGCGAAATACGGCCGAATTTCGGATCAATTCGAACCCTCTCGAAATATTCAAATGCGATCGTTTGGAAGGAGGAAAAAAATATTGACAGATGTCTAATCGTGATGCATTATCATATGCGAATATATCGATACGACGCGTTAAGTGAATTATCGTTCGATTAGGCTGATTGAAATTTCGTTCGCATAATATATTCCCTAAGAGTCTAATCTTAATAAAAACGTAATAAGCTTGATCTAAATAACTTTCCATTTTTCAAGCAGTATTTCTTTTTATTACCTTCAAAAATCAAGAAATACTACCAATCTGAGATATTAATTTTGTAATTTTAAAAATTTTTCAGAATTATTTGCCCGTGAGAAAGCTAACATCCGTTATTAAAATCGCTACGTATTTCTTATTTATATTCA